AGGTCAGGGCCTGTCTGAGCCCATCAGGACAGAAGACAGAGCTGTGAAGACTATACCTGGAGGACCTAATCCCTCCCAAAATAGCCAGGAGGCAAAACAGGAAAAGCAGAGGCAGAAAGGGCCATATTGGGCTTGCTTCTGGCTTGTAGCTTCTGGTTTAGGTTCTAAGAACCTCTTTCTAGACCTCCTCATGGCCACCTTTCAAGACCCCTGAATTCAGAGCCTCCAAACCAAAGACATTAAACTCACAGTCAAATCAAGGAGGTATCAAATTATATTTAATTTTGAAACTATTTCTATTTTACCAACAATTTAAAAACTAGTTTTATTTACCGCATATCACATACACATAACACATAGATATACAAACCCATAGAAGCAGATCTTATAGCTCTCATAAAGGATTTTCATTTGCTGGCTTTAAAATAGTTTTGCTTTTCCTTATGTGATCTATCAGTCTTCCAATTACCAGTTTCATTGCCCTAAGGAATTGTTAACTAGGCAACAAATTTGCATTTCTATAGGGACAACTCCTAGGTGGAACAAAAAAAATTTCTTAAGCGCAGACCTAAGATTTTAGGCCTACATATTGTATCATCATTTAAACCAAGGGAAGAAAAAAATCTCCTCAAGTGAAAGTTCACTTAAGACAAGACGTGAAAAGCAGAAAAGCGCTGTAAACAAAGGTAGGGTTTCTTATGTAAATTTAAAAGAATGGTAAGAGTTTTTAAGGATGTGCATAGGTGGACATCCTTAAAATGGAGATTTTTGTTTATAAAGAGTTTCAAGATAGCCAATTAAAGTTCAGAAAGATGTATTTTAGTTTAATAGAGTGTTCTTTTTAACTTAGCTACTGTTTTTTAGCTAAAATGACTACATTCAGGGTAACAGGTGGAGCCCATTAAGGAATATGGCTAACGAGGCATTTTATGCCTGGATTCAGCGTGGATAGATCTGAAAAGGAAGCAAGCAAGCCTATTTTATCTGAGGGTCTACCTTTTACAAACACCTTATCTAGGATAGCTTTCTTTCCACCTTTGGGATGGGATAGTAACTAAGCCAAACGTTAGCAGATTTAATTTTTTAAATCAATTATCGCTTAAGCTTTTTATGAAGTCCTTAAATAAAAATACTGATATCTTTTTAGAGGCTTCTGCATATTAATAGGCATCCCTACCTAAGACTAATTTGGAAGCCCTCATTTTCAAATGCACTTCAATGCAGTGTTGTTCATTTGGAGAGTTCCACAATAACTTATCTCTAGTAAGATTTCACCATTTCTGTAAGACGTTGCTGTGGCTAGGACCTAATACTTACGCATATGTAAGCCAGAAGGAACTCAGTTCTTCCAAAATTAAGGATTCCATTTTTACCTCAAATATTGGCTTTGGCTTTTAGGTTCCCTTGATCAACTTAGCCGTTGATTTTTTCCTTACCTAAGCATGCAAGAAAACTGAAACAAAGGGGTAGAACACAAAAATCGCTGTGAATTTCCAAAAGCTCGATTTTATACCCCTTGCAATATTGCCATTTATTGCCTGTTTATTTTCGACCCAGTCAGAAATAAAAAAAACACAGTCAGACGGAAGAGTCCTCTAATTGGATCCAGGCCAGTTAATTACCAGATCCCATCCGAGCCTGGATCCAGCCCAGTTTCTGTTGCTACTTCCAACCCCAGTTTGGATCAGAAATTTGCTCAAACAAATTCAGAGGTCAAAACTCAAATCTTTGGAGCTTTGGAATCCTAGACAGAACTTACCACCATCTCCAGTTGCTGCAAGAGGGCAATGGACACAATGCACCTGGCAGTTACCTTTCCTGGCCACCCAGCACTCCTGGGAGTCACTGGAAGCTGTACTTCATATCCCACTTCTTATGCCATCTGTTAAAAGTAAAACTTCGGCTGAATTAAATTTAAAAGAGGTTAATTGAGCAAAGAACGATTCACAAATCAGGCAGCCTCCCAAGGCGGCTCAGAGACTGAGCCTATTATGATCAGCCACGTGGTAGAAGATTTACGGACAGAAAAAGAAAGTGACACAGAAAACAGAAGTAATGTATGGAAAAAGCCAGATTGGTTACAGGTTGGCATTTGCCTTAATTGTACACAGTTTGAATAGTTTACCACCTTTGATTGGCCAAGACTTGGGATTGGCACAAGAGTAGACTTCAGTCTGTTTACAACTCCCTTTAAGTTATAGTTCACAATGCACAGAGAAACCTTTAGGCTGAACTTAAAACACGTTAAGGAGGCAGCTTTACTCTAAACTTGATTTGACACCACCCAGAGCCTCAGAATGTACCTTATTTGGAAACAAGGTCTTTGCAGATACAATTAGTTAAGATGAGGTCATACTAGATTATGGGGGGTCCTAAATCCAGTGACTGGGGTTCTTAGAAGAAGGCCAGGTGAAGACACTGAGACACAGAAAGAAACACACACACAAGAGAAAATACTATTTAAAGATAGAGACAGAAATTGGAATGATATTGTTGCAAGTCAAAGGCTCAAAGAATTGCCTACAACCACAGTATTAACATAATAAAGACAATCAAGGAAGGATTCTTCTTTCCTAGAGTTTTTGGAGGGAGCTTAGCTTTGCCAACACCTTGATTTCAGGCTTCTAGCCTCCAGAACTCTGAGAGAATAAACTGCTATTGTTTTAAGTCACACAGTTCATCGTCATTAGTTAAAGAATGCCTAGGAAACTAACACATCTAGCAATAAGATGTGAGGAACACTTGAATCCAGATGAAGCTTTTCAAGGTTGCTTATCACCACAGTTTGGGAAGAGCTGAAAAAAAGAGAAAAAAACAAAAAGCTCCGCAAGTTCCAACATCAAAGTCTACAATTCTTCCCTCTCTCCCTTGATAGGGACTTGAGTTATGATTGCTCTGGAGTAATTTGCTACACAGCAATAGGCAACTAATACAGTTTCCAATGCAGCTACTTCATCTTACCTTTTAAGTGTCCAGAGTGTCTTTCTGTTCCATCTTCTGAGGATGAACCCATTAAGAACTTGTTTTAAGGCCATGAGCTCACTTTGTTTTTCTTGATGGATCGGGGGTGAGAGGACAGATTTTATTCTGTAGAATGAGAAGACTGTCATGAACTACTTAGGTCAACCAGAGATTATAGCTACAGGAAACAATTGTAATATTCTTTCATTCAGTTCTGTTGAGTCAGTAGAGTTGTTGCCTACTTCCCTCGGTTGACTCGCCTGGCAGTGATTACCCAGGCTGCTGTGGCTTCCACACTTAGTCTAATCCCCTCACCCCACATCCTCAGGACAGACAGATGTCTAGGATTGTAGCTTTCTAATTCAAAAGCCTGTAAGTCTTCCTCACAGAGTTTTTTTTTTTTTTCTCTGAGATGGCTATGGCTGAATAATTAGTGACAGTTTTGCTTTTATAAAGTAACTTTAAAGCATGGGTGGCTGACCACAACTGGCCTCTCTCCTCGTATCTGCCTGACAGAACTGACGTGACCAGAAACCTGGTGCTGCTCCTCAGATCTCTGAAGTTCATCAGGCAAAAGAGAAACAGATGATGTAGTAATATTTGCTACATTAACCAAGGAGTCTTACTCAGTGTATGGCTGGTATCTTGGAAGTAGCATGAAATATGAAGTCAGAAGTTTTAGGTTCATGTTTCTCTATTGATATTTAGTAATTCTGTGAGTAAAGTCACATAAACTGTGAACCTCAGTTTCTTCATCTGTATAATGAGAACAGTATTAACATACTATCCAGCCTACGTTCAGAAGGGTGTTTTATGTTTCAAATAAGAGAGTGTATATGTGAAAGGGCTTTACAAACCATGAAACAACTATATGCTAATGTAGTTGTTGCCTCCTGAGATTGATTACTATTTCAATGAATGTATGCGAAGGGTATTCTTAGAACACAAGCTCAGGTCGGCATCAGCCCCATAAATGAGAATCATTGTGGAAGCAGAGAGGATGCTCCAATAGAGAGAATTTGATTCAGTGTGTTTGAGAGGTTGCCATCCAATGTGGAAGTAGGTATCCAAGACTTGTCTGAGGTAGTTTTGGGGGGCTCTGGTCCTGGTTGATTCAGCTTCTCATGGAGCCACCTGGGACCCTGCTCTAGCTGCTGTTGGCCTCACTGTTAGCCATGTTCAGTACAATGGCCCTATGGTGCTGACTGACAGCGTCTGAAATCTTTCCAAATTGAGAACAATGGGAAAGTTGTCTTCTGTATTTCTCATCGGCTATTTTGATATTGTTTTTCTTTTCTTTTTTGTCCTTGTTTCTCCTCAGTATTACAAAGTATTGTGTCCGCTTTGTTGAGTACCAAATGGTCTTTTCCTTTGACTCGATTGCCTCTTGTTTATGAAAAACAGCAAGTCAACCATGACAAATGGCCAGCAGTAATCTTGCCTCTCAAGTACAGAGACTTTTTTCTTGCCCTTATTTTGTTTGAAAAATAAGAAAGCTTTTCTTTTTCCTTTAGGGAAACTAGTCTTGTTGTTCAGAGATACATAGAATAGAGAAAAACTCTGGAGTCAGGAGACCTGTGTTCAAATTCCATGTTTGGGCAAGTTACCATAATCTCTTTGGAGGCCAGTGACTGGGGGTGGCGGTGGGGGTGCCATGAGGATCGCAGTGTAAAAGCACCTGGTGAGCAATAAAACAAAAGTTCTTATAACTCTTTCCAGAGGACCCTGAAAAGGCAGGAGTAGGCAAACTGATTTCAGAGATTCTAGTTCAGGATATTTCTTAGAAATGCTACATTGTAGCATAATGTATGCTTGATCTGAAACACCAGAGTCCTGAAGAACATGTTGCAGATCTATTCCTTCACTTTAAAAATGTGCAACCCGGCCGGGCGCGGTGGCTCAAGCCTGTAATCCCAGCACTTTGGGAGACTGAGGCGGGTGGATCACGAGGTCAAGAGATCGAAACCATCCTGGTCAACATGGTGAAACCCCGTCTCTACTAAAAATATTTAAAAAAAAATTAGCTGGGTATGGTGGCGTGTGCCTGTAATCCCAGCTACTCGGGAGGCTGAGGCAGGAGAATTGCTTGAACCCAGGAGGTAGAGCTTGCGGTGAGCCGAGGTCGTGCCATTGCACTCCAGCCTGGGTAACAAGAGCGAAACTCTGTCTCAAAAAAAAAAAGTGCAACCCTACCTGCTCAGTGTATAGCCACCAACAGCTATAGCTCCTCCCGGAAGCCTGTGCCTTGTAGCCTATGCCCTGAGCCTTTCTCCTGCTGGTCTACCCCAGGGGCCATGTTCTTTCTTTTATCAAGCTCCAGGCTGGCTGAACCTCATGAGGATCACACATGTTGACTTTCTCTTTTGCTTGCCAATGTGGCCTGGAGGTGAGACTTGTGAATCTGCTTTAGGGCCAGATGTGAAATCCTAACTAGCTGTGACTGAATTTCCTTGCATCTTCCAAGATGTTTTTCATTGTAAATGATCAACAACAATCAACGTTATTCCTTTAAGTTACGTACAGTCAGCCTTCAGTTCTTCTCCTTTACTGAGGATGACGGAGCTGTAAATAAGGAGAAGACAAACAGCACAAAAAGCAAATGTTATTCCTTTTATTTCTGGAGATGTCTGACAAGCAGTCTCTCACCTTTGTCTCCACATGCCTTTGAAACTGTGTTGTAATGTGTGCTGTGTCATTTGAAGACACTGTCAAGCAGATTCTATTTTACCAATAAGAACAGTGTTTCAAATAGGATGCCAAGGAAGTCAAGAACTAAGTATCCTGTTAGTCATAGCTATGACCTAGCATGTATCATGAAATACAGAGAAAGCAGTGGAATTATGTGAAAGAACGAAGCTGTAATTAGAGACTGTTAGACCTGGAGAGCGCACAGAAGATCATCTGGTCTGAGTCCTGTGTTTTACAGATGAGAAAACGGGGGTCCTGAGGGTAAGCTGCTTGTGCTAGGATGCACTGTTAGTTAATAGTAGAGCCAGGACCATTGACACCAAGGTCACTGACACTGGCCCAATGCTTCTTTAACTCTACTGTACTTGGGACTGAGACAGACCTAGGCTGGGATCCCAGCTCTGCCATGTATTATGTGACCTTGGGCAAGTTATTCCACTGCTCCAAGCCTCAGTGTTCCTCTAAAGGGCTGAATTGTGTCCCCTTCAATTTTAAATGTTGAAGCCCTAATCCCAGTACCTCAGAATGTGACTGTATTTGGAGATCGAGCCTTTAAAGAGGTGATTCAGAAATAAGACTGTTAGTGGGTCCTCATCCAATCGGACAGGTGTCCTTATGAAAAAAGGAAATTTGGACACAAGAAAAGACACCAGGTGTGGGTATGCACATAGAGGAAAGACCATATAAAGACAGTAGGAACATGGCCATCCACAAGCCAAGGAGAGAAGCCTCAGGAGAAACCAGACCTGCCGACACCTTGGTCTTGGATTTCTAGTCTCCAGAACTGTGAGGAAATGCACTTCTGTTGTTTAAGCCCCCAAGTCTGTGGTATTTTGTTATGGCAGCCTGAGCTGACCAATACAGTCCCCACCTAGAAGGCTGAGATACGAATATTTAACTCATGGGGTCTGTTGTTCAGATTAAACGGGATAATTAATCAAAAGAAATGAAAAACAATGGCCAAGACACAGTAAGTGCTCAGCAAGTGACAGTTGTTACAGTTATGCAAAGGGCCAATTAAGTATACATAAACATTCCACTGTAGCATAAATTTGACCTCACTACAATGAATTTGCCAGCAGTTCTAGACTAAGCCCCCAGTCTTCTCAGTTTGGTTTGCCTTCTGCTGGTCTTTGAATGACTCTTGAAGATAGACCTGGACTGTCTACCCATAGGTTTTTCAAAGACAGTCGAGAGACACTGAAACTAGTGTCTTCATTTTATCTTGATAACTTTCCCAGCCATAGTTAGTCATATTGGAGTCTTTCCATTAAGTTGAGACATCTATTTAAGATTCAAATTGTTCCTTTAAAAATAGACGTTTGAGAATGCAAATATTTAGAGGCCTCACTAAAGAGTTCAGATTTTTAAGGATTTTGAGTGGAGAGAGATCACGCTTGAATGTACTCCCTCTGCTCTCTTTTTAAACCTCCAGCAATTACAACACTGCTTTGCAAAGAGTAAACATCAGATGAAAAAATCTCCCAGGACCGCCTGAGAGGGAAGTGCAGAAGGCAGGAGAAGGGGACTTGCCCCTGACACCTTGGTGGCAGCATACAAAATCTGGTGTGTCCCAACAGTGATTGCTGAAGCCACCTCCTTCCCCCTTGCTCTCCTGCTGTATAGTGTCGGCAGTGGCCACACCAGACTAAAGGCACCGACTGGTCAGGGACTGGGGCTGCGCAGAGGCAGTGGAGTATTTCAAGTCCAAGTGCTGAAATGCTGGAAGTCCTTGTGTGGGATTAGAAGGGGCAGCTGGCACCCTGTTGGTTCTATTCTCTGGGTGTGCCTCGGCAGGCAGAATGCATTTTGATTTTCACCTAAATCCCAGATTGCATAATTCCCACAAGGGCATCTGATGTGAACTGAGATTTCTCCTCTGCACTACTCAACTTTCTGCAAATCCTGCCTCTTTATCCTGGCCACTCCCCTCAGACAGGACAGCCAGAGTTTCTGTTTTGCTACTAAAGAAACCAAGGCACTGGGACTTACACTAGACTTAAACTAGCAGGTGCAGCTAAGCTGACCCCGAAGCAAAGAGTTTCTGTACTCGCAAGGCAGATTTTATGGGCATTGTTCATAAGTATCTTGTTAACTCTCAAATACAGGATCAGAGAAAGTGATCTGGTCTTAGAAGAATGCAGACCAGAGACCCTGCAAAAGTCAAAGCCATGACTGGGCATAAGTCATGCACAGGGGCAGCATCTGTCTGGGTGGAACATAGTTGTGGTCATGGCTACATTACTAATCTCTTGCTCAGCCATTTGTTGAAGCAGTCATTCTTTGGGAAATGGGAGTTGGACCCTTCCCATTTCCGAAATCCAAAATGCCATCAGTGATGTCCTTCTCCATTTCAGCCCTTTCTGATGGCTTGTGGTGTCTTACAAGTTGCTGAAAGAATGTTGCCTGGAGGGAAGCTCTCTGGGTAAAGACATGCTGTGGATTCAGTCTTCCAGTGTAGAGTCTCTACATAGAAGGGTGATCCAATATGAGGCAAAACAGACTCTAAACTGTTGGCCTGCATAGGTCATCTGGGGTCAATGATTAGAAATATGGAATCTGGGCCTCATCCCCAGTCTTTCAGATTCAATGCGGTCCTGAAAAGGGCCCAGGGATCTGCATTTGCAACAAGTGTCTGGGTGACTGAAACAGGAGATCACGGACACTGTTCTGTGAAGTACTGCTCGGGGCAATACAGAGTATTCGTGTTTCTTCCGATTCTGAGCTTCAGTGCATCTGGGACCCTTGGTGCCTCAGGTGCCCTTCAGACCTTAATGGCAATGTGGCTGATCTAGGAAGACTGAAACACTCTTGGCCCTACTGCAAACTCTTGATCCTCTGGTTTTCTGCCAATAAGATGAAACACCCCCATACTTTCAGGTTTAAGGGGAAAGAAACTATATGACAGTAGAGGTAATGTCGATTTTAAAAAGTGTGCTACCTTAAACTTAGATATAATTTAACAATAGCTTTCACTTTATCTTTTGATTTTCACAGTAACCTCAATATAATTTCACAATAAGTCAGTTCACTCATGAAGAAACTGAGGCACAGAGATATGTTCTGGAGCAAGCAGTGACAACATTATCCTATTGACTGGGGAGCTGAACTTAGGTTTGGGGTCCTGCTCTTTAAACTGGCCGTTGGAGAAGGGTGCTTGAAGGCCTCACCAAGGAGTTTGGTTGTGGTCTTTAGTTATGAGGGGTCTCTTGAACAGGAGGGGTCTCCTGACATTTTCCTTTTTTTAAATTTTCTCTCTTGTCTGTCCAAACTCTTACAGCACTAGAACTGGGACTGGAGCATCATCCAATCACCAGGTTGGCAGTCTTCCTGGCAGGCTGTCCTGCCTTTCTGTATAAAATCCCTAGAGTACCATGTGGCTGTTGGTGTTGATTAGTGGATATAGGGGTTGTACTATTACCTTAATCCAGAGATGTACCAAAAAGACATTAAAATGACTAGGGAAAACCTTTAAGATTTTTATGTGACCAGAGTCTCCTTCCTGAAATTGGACCAGCTATAGCTGGATAGTCTGCCTTCATTCTCTTAATGAAGGTATCTCATGTGTGGCATAGATTATGGTAGGAGCCAGGAGACCTGAGCTCTGGTTCAGGCTTGGCCAATAATCTGCTATGAGTTTATGAGATTGTGCTAGCCTCTTGGAGTCTGTTTCCTCATCTATAACATGAAGAATCTTACTCTGTACTTTCCGGGTCTAATATCCTTCAATCTAACTCCCACCAAGCTACTGGGAATGCTAAGGATATATATGAATGAATGCCTTCTCTAGGATCCAGTCATCTGGGGATGAGACATTTCAAGAGGTACAGAAACCAGAGGCCTCATAGCTTGTAAAAAAAATCTTGGAAGTGGTTATATTTATTTTCTTACCCACTTGACATATACAGATGCTCACTGCCTCCCCCATTCATTTTGCCTTCAGCCTTGGTTTTGCTACCTGAAGGAAGCTCAGAACCTCTTGCAGTCACAGCAAGGCATGGCAAGGAAGAAGCTAATGTGGTGACACTGGGAGCTTTCATGTCTGTAAGTGAATAGGGAAGGGTGGGTATCTCTAGCTATAAGCAGTCTTGGGGGTCCCATATGGTCTGCTCATGATCTCATCATGAGGCATAGGAATGTTGCTAAGGACTGATGAATTATAGAGATCCTGGACCTTAGCAGGCACCTACTGTGCTTTGAACTCCAAGCATATTGGAAGTACATTCACTAGAATCTGAATTTAGAGTAAGTCAAGGATAGATATTATGTTTTAAGGATATCTTCAGAGCCTCAGGAGTAGGCATTCAATCAATACCTACTGAATAAATGAACATGTCTGAAGAATAGGATCATAAACTAGAGAGAAATAAATTATACCCAAAGTTGTTCTCAAGACTGTACCATGGAATGCCAGGACTAAGGATATGGGTCTTATCTCAATTTTTCTTTGTTCTACTTTATCTTGTTTTGGTGCCACCTTTCTTCATTACAGGCTACAAGGAACTCTGAAAACGAGGGGTGACTGAGGACCATTTCTCTGTTTTAAATATGTATATATATATATACACACACATATATATATGATTATATGTTAATTTTATATAATATATAAATTAATTTTACATAATGTATAATTTTAATATATATAATATATAACACAATTTTTTATCATGTTAAAAACCACATAACATAAAATTTGCCATCTTAATATTTTTAAAGCATATATAGTTTAGTTTGGCAGTAATAGATATATTATTGTGAAACAAGGGCCATATCTTTTTAATAGTAACTCCTAAGCCCTAAAAAATACACAGATTTTTCAGAAGTAAAATATTATAGGAGATATTGTCTACAGACCTGCTTTCTAAAATTTAAATTCCATTTTCTAAAAAATTATTAAAGAATTAGAGGTATGTTTTTATAATTTTTAAAAAACCCTTCAGTAGTTTGAGTCAAAAAGAAAGCGTTAATATGGTGGCCATGACCATTACAGATGTCTTTGCTACATCTTTCAATGTGGGGCTCTTTCCTATTATATAAAATTTGTAGATATCACATTTTTATTTCCTCTTTGGTTAAGTGAGAATGTTCCAAGTCAAATAAAGCTGGGTTGCAGTACCACAGAGCACCATTAGGTGCCACTGTTTGATATGATAGTAAAGGGACTGAACATAATGGAATAAAGCTTTTCTTTCCTTCTCTTGTGCCTACTAGGTGCCGAGCTCTATGCTAAGCCCTGCAGGTACAGCAATAAACATGACAAGCCTCGGAATGAGGCAGACACGTCATTACAATAGGAGGGGTGGAGCAATTGTTTAGAGTCTATTGTAGCAAATCAGGTGAGGCATGAGATGAGCTGAACCATGACAGGAGCTATGAGAGTGGAGACAAATTTGGGCTTTTGGAACACCTTGATAGGTTCATATTTTTGTGGTGACCATGGATGCAGATGGCCCTGACCCCCTTGATCACCGACCTCGCACTATCCACCAGTTTGTAACATGGCCCTGGGCAAACCTTTGGGTCATATGGTATTATTATTATTTTTTTTTTTTGCCAATCAGTTTGAGCTTATGAGGTTAGCCTTGAACTGATGACCTCGCCTTCGCGAGCGCCATGACCTCCGGCGGGAGCCACTTTGGACCCCGGTATTATTTTTTTAATGCATTATTTGCCAAATAAAATACAGGGTTTTAAACTCCTCATGAAGAATCAGAAGGTCTAGTAACAATTGATTAAAACTAAATCATGGCTGCCCTCATAGTAGACCATCAGTTCTTCTGCCAGCTTGTTTCTCTCATCTTGGTTCTTGTCTGGTCCCTTGAGCAGGGCCAATATTTAGTGGGTGTGTACTGGGGTGAAATATGTCTGTTTTGATTGGTGACTAGCTCCCCTGAACTCCCTGAGTGTCTCCTATGCTCCAGGCCATTCCCCAATAGCATCTTCCCAACCCACTTCCCTATAACCTGGCTATAAAAAGGTTTCGCTTGGCACTGCAGGGCCTCCTGGCTCCCTGCTCTAATGCTAGGTCCAACATCCATTTTCTGATTAGTCCTTGTCCTGGGCCAAAAGGAATGTTCAATATTTTGAACATCATCCCCACTTTTAGGGTATGAAGTCTGCATGTGACCTCTGGGCTAGATTATTTTTGCCTTCAGGGGAAGGAAAATACAGGATAGATTCCCAAGGCAGGGGATGTGTTCAATCACAGATGGCTTTGGGGTTCGGGTTTTTTTCTTTGTTTTTGTTTTTACAAACTTTTAATTATAAAAGCTGTTTTATTTTCAGAAATGTTTACGTTTCCATAGCACGCTGCTGAATGCATCAATGTGGGGAGGATTATGTAAATTTTTATAACTTAAGGGAAACAGGAAATTATTTTTTTATTTTTTGCAGCTCCAACACATTAAAATAATGGGATTTCTTTTTTCATCAGTGGAATGCCATTCCAAGGCATATTTAAGTTCTTTGTGGTCAGCTCCGGTAGCAGGACAGTTAAAATGATAATAGTAATAATTAATAATTATCATAAAATATATTTGTACTTTTGGAAACCAGCCTGTTTGTGATTCCTTCACAGTTTATCTGTGTGAGACCTCAAGGCCAACCTTAGAGGAGCCCGTTGTTTCTCCTCCAAGAGCTCGTTCTGTGTCCAGAGAAACACTTGTTGGGTTTTAATTAGAAACCGGTGGGGGTGTGGGCCGGCTAGCTGGCCGCACCATGCGCTGTGATCTGGGAAGGCTGAGTGGGGGCCAGGGAGTCTGAGCATATCTTCAGGGTGAGATATTTGATTACACAAGGGAGGAGAGATGATTGCCAGTCCTCCCATCTGGAGAAAAGTTTCTGGGCAGCAGGAGCTAAGGATAGGGTGAAAGCAATTGACACACTGAAGAGAGTAGGGGGAGGGGAGGAAAGGGTCGGGCCGGTGCGTGTCAGCTCCAGGAGGCTGGCCCTGCCTCGGCCATGTCCATCTGACGCAGAATGGAATGTGACCCAATCCTTGCAGGGCTCAGTTGGAGCTCTTTCCACCGCTCTGCAGCTCACTCTCCTCATGCTCACCTGGACACATCTAGTTCTGGCCACACTGGCTGGAGCATTAATCACTGGGTTGTCCTCAGATGATGGAGTTGAAGGAAAGACAGGCTCTTCTGAAGTCAAGGCAAGTGCTCCCTCCATCTTTTCCTTCACAGCTGGAATTTTCTGCTTGTACAAATCTTAATACATCGAATCCTAACCCGGGCTTATAGGCCTTTCTCTCCCATTGAAATGTGAACCCTGCTATGGGAATGACCACACCCTCCATTTTTTTGTAGAGCATCCAGTGCAGTGTCTGGCACAAATAAATGTTCTGTGAATGTCAACTGAAGGAAAGCAGAAGCCAGGAGAGGTCTGAAATTGTTGTAAACCAAAAATAAGATTCTAAGTCTCCGTCCTGGCCAAGGAGATTCCAAAGAAACCTGAAAAACCCAGTTCAGGTCATGACAGGAAAGGGGTGGTGAGACATGCCCCTTTATACCCTCTCCCTTAGGGAGTTCAGGCACAACTGACCAGCACCGACATGGAAGCAGGGATCTTAAGGCGAACAAGACAGATTCTTTGTAGCAATAAGATACCAAATTCCATCCTGAATCTCTGACTCTGATATAATATCACACGACAGATAAAAAAGGAAACCAATATTTTACCCCAAAATATGTTTTTTGTTGTTGTATTCTGAAATGTCCCTGCAATTTTGTGGAAGAAAACTGTGTGTGGGGAAATTTTACATCTGTAAAGAATCTCTATTACCGTAACTAGATCTTTATCTTTCCAGGCCCTTTGAATCCAGAAAAGATGAACTGAGAATCTAGCATATTTTAAAGGTCTACGAAGGAAACATTTGCCATCTATATTTTCCAAGGGTGACCACCAAGGAGACTTCATCTACAGAATAAAAGCCTTCGTCTGCACAACCTCTTATCTTAACCCAGACGCTTCTTTCTATTGATTCCAGGTCTTTAGATAATAACTTAACTCTTTCAACCAATTGCCAGTCAGAAAGTCTTTGAAGCCACCTATGACTTCTAAGCTCCCTTCCAGTTGTCCTGCTTTTCTGGACCAAACCAATGTATACCTCACATGTATTGATTGATGTCTTCTGTCTTCCTACAACCCTTAACACCAAGCTGTACCCCAACCACCTTGGACACACATTCTCAGGATCTCCTGGGGCTATGTCATGAGCTGTTGGTCACTCATATTTGGCTCAGAATAAATCTTTTAAAATATTTTACAGAGTTTGCCTTTTTTTCATCAATACAGCCTTGGGATGATTGCTGGCATTCTCCACAATGACACTGCTTTCAAGGACCCAAAGCATAGCAAGACCTTGAAGTACTTGGGGAATCGTGAACAAAGAATCAGTCAAACAGGAAAAGCAGAGCGAAGCAAGTACAACTAGGAAAATTTCAGTCATTGAATTGTTTAAGAGCTTTGGAAATTGGCTGTTGCTTTACATTAACTAATAATTTGAATGTAGGTGTGACCCTCAAATGTGTCTCAACCATTCTGAATAAATTAGAATATACTGTTTATAACATCTTATTATTTTAATTCCAGTTTGAAGTTTTCACAAACTCCACTGCGTCGACCATGCATCGAGCTCTCACCATGAGCCAAACTGCTTGCGAGACACCATCTCGAGACACTGTAATGACCCCCAGAGCAGCACTGTTAGGCAGGCTGTCTTCATCCTGCAGATGAGGAACCTGAGGCTCAGACTGGCTGTTGGGCAGCATGGAGCTTTGGAAGAGCCTGGCCCAGAGCTTGGGAAGACTGAATTTCCAAACTTTGACTCTTATAATTATGGGACTTTGGGGAAATTACTCAACGAAAGACATTGGAACCAGAATATTTGGAAAGAAATCGGTGTTCATTTTGGCCAAACCATGTGGGCTTAGTGCAATCAGAGGAGCACTCGTGCACAAATGTCTTGTTTCCTATCAGATACGCACATATTTATGTGAACTTTGTGACCTCCTTGTTCCCTTTCTTTGGGACATGGGGAGAGAAAGTGCTAAAGCACACTTTTAATTGTGCTAGTTCTGGAGTTTGGAAGAGGCTGTCCAAGGAACAAGCTGGACATGAATAATGTATGACCTGTTCACTCAAAAGCCCCACCACTAAAACCTCATGGAGCTTGCTACACATTATTTTCCAAATATCAACTCTGATTAAAAGGACCGTCTAGCCCACTGACAATTATTCATTGGCTTCTGTACAGTGTATTATTGTATGGCGCTTCCTCAGGAGCTATAATTAGGTGATTGTGTGAGGAGTCCACAGTGTACGTTTGAATAGTGGTTCTGTTTGGTTCATGATGTCACTCATTCACTCTGGTTCCCTCTCATCATTTGGCTGTGGATGTGGTGTGGTTGGAACTCAATACATGTGAAATTAGACCTTCACCGAGTGTTCTGTGAGTGAAGTAATGTTAGCACTGAGGATGAATCACTTGGGGCATACCTGAAGTAATTGCGGCCTAAGTGTCAGAAATTCTGGGAATCCCTCTTTTTAGCTGTTCAACCTGGACAAGTCACGCAGCCTTTCAGAGACTTTGTTCATCTGGAAATTGGGGTTCATGGCATCAGCAACCCAGTGGTTATAATGTACAATGTGTGAATTACCTCCCTCTTCTTCCCCTCCACTCCTAATCAACACCGCATCCCGAGCATGCCCTGTCTTTAACATCGCTCAACCCTCCCCACGTTTCTCTGTCTGCATGGCCACTTCTCTGTTCCCAGCCTTAGACGGGGCTCACTGCACCTGCTCCTGCAGCCGCTAACAGACTGGTTGCTTCTGTGATGGTCTTTCTGGATGATCACATGGGACATGTTCTGTAGCTTAGACCCCTCCAGTGAGATCTCTGGAAGTTTGCAGCTGTACTGCTACCTGATACTGTGCTCTGATGAGTCAAATTCCTTATCTTGACCTGTATGCCCCTGTATGATCTGTCCCCATCTATATGTAGAGCCTCATGTTATGCTATTATTCCCTTCACTATCAGCATTCCAGGAAAAGCAGCTTATTTTTAGCAACCAAAATACATAAAATACTCTCCTCTTTAAAGACTTTTGCACTGGATGTTCCTTCCACCTGGAACCTTTTTCACCCTCCTATTGGCCCCTTTACATCCCTACAAATCCAGATCAGCATTCAAGAACTAGCTTAAAGTGTCCTTTCCCTGGGGAATTCTCACAAGGACCACCCTCTGCCACTGTATAAATGCCCAGTAAACAGTCTTACTCCTTCATAGAACATATCACAACTCCAGTGAAATAATTACCTGGGTAAAGATTTCTTTAAAATCTGTCTCTCCCTCTGAACTGTTTCTTGAATCTGGCCTTATTCCCAGCATACCATGTGGCTTGTAATCTTCATCAATACACATTGTACAGGGAATAAAGTTTGCCATTCCTCTGTGAACTTAAATCTGTCATTTTTTGCATTGGAAGATCCTTGAGAGGCACCTTTACTCTTTGTTCTTCAGCCTCCTCTTGGTTAAGAAGAGACATGGCTTCCTGTGAGGGAGCCCCATCCCTGGGCTTTGTTAGCCACAAAGGCCTGGCTGGAAAGCACGGTAGGAGGCAGGAAGGGTCATTGATCTACTGAATGGCAGAGCAGGAAAGGAGCTAGGGGCCCAGGAGCCCTACCTCATTTTACAGATGGGGAAACCGGGAAGAGAAATCAAACATAATGTCAAAGAGCAGAGCTAAGAAATAACTTCAATGAATAAAATATTGTTTCAGCAGGGATACATAGAAAAATATATACTTATACATGACCTAATTTGTGTACAGTTTTGTAATTTTCTTTTTCTGAGACAGTCTCACTCTGTTGTCCATGCTGGAGTGCAGTGGCACAGTCTTAGCTCACTGCAACCTCTGCCTCCCAGGGTCAAGCAATTCTCCTAACTCAGCTTCCTGAGTAACTGGGATTACAGGTGCCCACCACCACACTGGCTAATTTTTTTTATTTTTAGGGAGATGGGGTTTCACCATGTTGGCCAGGCTGGTCTTGAACTCCTGACCTCAAGTTATCTGCCTGCCTTGGACTCCCAAAGTTATGGGATTACAGGTGTAAGCCACTGCACCTGGCCAAATTTTGTAATTTTAATTGCTATTGCTTCATCAATCTTCATAGCAGCCTTGAGAAGAAGGCATTGTTTATCCTCATTTTACAGATGAGAAACAACAGAGAACCTAGGTGACAAATGGAGTCAACTCAATTGAGAAGTGCCAAAGCCTGACTGAGTCCCTGTGTTTATGGTTGCTAGCTGACGGTTTTCCCCACTGTGCTGCTCTGCACCTCTTACAGATACATACCCAGGCAACTCCACTTCAGGGAAGAAATACTGGGCCAGGGAGCCATAGCTGTGAGCAAAAATATGTTCTGCTTCATTCTCTTCTTCGCTTATGTGGTGGCTGTGACTTCTGTAACCTGCCCTGCCATCTGTTAAATGAAACTGCCTGAGTCACAGGGACATGATGGGAAGTCCCTGACTTTGGAGTCAGACTTCCTGGAGTTTAAATCGTGGCTCTGCCTCTTACAGCTGGGTGACCCCAAACAGGCCATAGGAATGGGAGAAGGAGTGAGACCCCGACTAAAAAAAAGAAGAAGACATAACTGGGACTGGATATGTACCTGACCCTGTTGCCTTGCTGAGCCTTGGGCTCCCCTTTGTAAAACTCAGGGACTAATTGCCTTCCACTAGGTTTGTTGAGGATTAAATGAGGTAGTGCTTATGAGATACAGAGAAAACAGAAGGCACCATAAACATTATCTTGACAAAGGTAGCATGGAGCAACCCAGTTGGGAAGATAAATTTCAGGAAAGGCCATCCATTGGGTGGAAAAAGTACAGGAATTTGTCAGAAGGGCAAAGTGAATGCCAGGGGTACAGTTAAAGGGGAGCAGGCTTGCAGCTGATATGAATTATCCTTTAACTGCAGGTCTTACTGGCTGTCTCCTCATTTCAAATCCGCAACCCCATCTGTTATCCCTTTGCATCCATTTGTGTCCATGTGCGTTTGTGTGTGTGCATATTTGTACTTGTGGGTGTGTGCACACTTACTCAGAGAGTGTCTGGGAGCAGAGGCCAGGCAACCTCCTAACAGCTTCCAGACTGCAGGCACCATCAGCACATTTACATATCCCCATTCTGTATTTGAATGGGGAACGTTAAAAAAGTGAGAAAATGTTTATAAACTAATTTTACTGTCCATCTGAACAGTTTCATTCCCAAAGCCATTTGGAAGCTTTTGTTTTTCTAAGCTGTGACTCTGCAAAATTTTTCCAGAAATGGTCCTTTAAGGAACTCACACAACTGGTCTGTATATACTATCATTTTATGAGCACCCTTTCCACAATCTAGAAGTCAAAGTCTGAAAACACCATCCCTAAATGTTAAACTTGAAAATACTAATTTTGAATGGTTTTTCGTTACTGACATTTAAATTACAATTTCATGGCAGACTCTGAAGAAAGGAGGAGGGGTTGCAGAAATAGGTGGCAGGTGATTAAAGTAGAGCAAATCAGTTGAAAAACAGAAGAGCCCAAGTCATTCGTGGGGAAACATAGAGAAAAGCCAGAACCTCCCAGATTTTCAGGCAGACGGAAGTCATGCCCTGGGGGATTTACCAGGTCCCAGTGCTGTGCCTCACCCTGCAGCCTCTGTCATTGCATTTTGTTTACAGATCAAGGGCAGGTCCAGGGGCAGACCCATCATCCTCAACTTCCCAAGACTAAGATGAAAGCAAAAGCTAGATTAGTTCATTTCCAGCGAGAAATCAAAATCACCATAGCTAGGTCTGGAATCTCACGCTGGCATATCAAGCTCTTTTTCTCTGTGCATTGAGCTGGCTCACAGGAATCGAATGTCTAATGGTGGGTGGGGGGAAGGGTTAGAAGAAAGCATCAGAGCAGGCCATGCCCTCGGGGCCCAAAGTTATGAAGTTCCCAAGTCAAGGCTCTGGTTCCTTGATAAGTGATATGGTTTGACTCTATGTCCCCACCCAAACCTCATGTTGAATTGTAATCCCCAATGTTGGGGGGAGGGACCTGGTGAGAGATGATTTGATCATTGGGGTTAATTTCCTGCTTGTTGTTCTTGTTCTAGTGAGTTCTCATGAGATCTGGTTGTTTGAAAGTGTGTAGCACCTCCCCTTTGCTCTCTCTTTCTCTCCTGCTGCTATGTGAAGACGTGCTTACTTCCCTTTCTCCCTTCTGCCATGATTGTAAGTTTCCTGGGGCCTCCCCAGAAGCAAAAGCCTTTGTAGTCCACAGAACCATGAGCCAATTAAACCTTTTATCATTATAAATTAAATTATCCAGTCTCAGGTATTTTCTTTTCTTTTCTTATTTTTTCTTCACAGGGTTTCACTCTGTCACCCAGGCTGGAGTTCAGTGGCATGATCTTGGCTCACTGCAACCTCCGCCTCCTGGGTTCAAGAGATTCTCCCCACTCAGTCTCCCAGGTAGCTGGGATTATGGGCATCTGCCACCAAGCCTGGCTAATTTTTGTATTTTTAGTAGAAATGAGGTTTCACCATGTAGGCCAGGCTGGTCTTGAATTCATGACCTTAGGGGATCCACCTACCTCAGCTTCCCAGGTATGTCTTTATAGCAGCATGAGAGCCAACTAATACAGGAGGCCACTGTCCACACCTGCATCTGTGAGAACTCTCTCGGCTCCCATTGCCAGCCAACCCCATTTGGAGGGGAACCTTCTTCTTTCTAAGGAGAAGACGGCTTTCTCTGTGAGGTCGTAGATCTCCAAAGTTTGAAAATAATTAATTCAAGATAGTAAACCAGATATTTAGGATGGCGAAGAAATGGAGGCATTTGCATATTCCTTAAAATGTCTTCTGTGTGTAAAGGAAAATAAAGCAAATGGTGATGTTACCATGTGTGGGGGTGGAGCGGCGAAAGATGGCCTCTGACTTGGCAAATTAAATTCTGACTAGCTTTGGTGAGGTCAGTTGCTGAGAAAAGGGAACCAAGCAGTAAGGGTCTTAGTGGATTGGGGAAAACACAGTGCTGGTCAAGATTCCACTTTCCCAGGGTCTGTCTCCAGGCCCCTGTTCTCCTTCTCCTGACATCTCTGGAATGTCATTCACTCCTGTGTCTGTGATTACTCGGGTGCTGGTGACCCTGTATACTTTGTCACCTTACCTTCTCTCCTGGGCTTGGGACTGAACTGTCTGCTGTCCATTTTCACCTTCATGTCCCTGGGGCAGCTTGAATGAGTGACATCCAGCATGGAGAATGCATCAGTGAGCAGCAGCACCTACTGTGCCCACCAGTGGCTAGCCACTCCGTTGATGCCATCATCCAAGCATAAACTTGGGGATGAGTCACAACTCCCCCTTCTCTTTCTGCCCTCAAGTCTAACCTGTTACCTAATTTGGTGGATTACTTCTTCTGTACGTTTATTGCACTGGTCTCCTCTCCTTCTCACCCCAACTATTTTGCCTTGATTCCGACCTTGTGATGGTTAATATCGAGTATCAACTTGATTGGATTGAAAGATGCAACATATTGATCCTGTCTGTGAGGGTGTTGCCAAAGGAGATTAACATTTGAGTCCCTGGGCTGGGAAAGGCAGACCCACCCTCAATCTGTGTGGGCACCATCTAATCAGCTGCCAGCACAGCTAGAATATAAAGCAGACAGAAAAGCATGAAAAGGCTTGACTGGCCTAGCCTCCCAGCCTACATCTTTCTCCTGTGCTGGATGCTTCCTGCCCTTGAACATCAGACTCCAGGTTCTTCAGTTTTTGGAACTGGACTGGCTCTCCTTACTCCTCGGTTTGCAGACAGCCTATTGTGGGACCTTATAATCATGAGAGTTAATACTTAATAAGCTCCCCTGTATGCATATCCTATTAATTCTGTCCCTCTTACAGAACCCTGACTAATACAGATTTTGGTCCCAGGAGTGGTTCTAGAGGAACAGAACATTATAGATGGCGTTCTTTTGTTGGTTTTGGGATTTCTGGAGTTGGCTGCTTAATATGATTAGACCCCAAAATGCTAAGGACTGTACTTCTAATAGCATGGAGAACACTGATAGTCCTTGGCACGAATTGTTTAGACAGTTATGCAAAATAAATGCACTTCACGCTCCTGATTCACCACTCAGGAGAGGCAAGGAGTTTAGTGACTCTGTACATAATACCTTTGACCATATGTGGAGAACCAAGGGACATAACGAAGCTGGTTGGTTGCTCCTAAGTTCAGTGGACAAAGTGATGAAAGAAAATGATGAACTCAGGGATTCTGTCTCCCAGCTTCAGAAGCAGATACTGAGCCTCAAATCTGCTAAGACTGCCCTGAGTGAGAGTCTTATTTCCTGCAGAGAGAGAACTGGAATTGTGGAAAAACAGACACAAGCTCTTATCATGTGAGTGGCTGACCTGCAACAAAAGATGCCTGCACAGCCTCAGCAGGTGTCTACTGTTAAAGTGAAGGCATTGATTGGAAAATAATGGGACCCTGTGACTTGGAATGGGGACGTGTGGAAGGACACTGACAAAGCTGGGGACACTGAGTGTGTAAACGCTGATGAATCTTTTTTGCCAGAAGAAACAGCTTCCCCATCCCCAGTAGCGGCAACATCCTCTCCCCCACCCATGCTGCCATCAGCCTTTCCACCTTTATGTGAGGAGACAAACCCTTTGCTGCCAGAGGCAACAGTGATGGCCTCCCCTGAGGCAGTTGCCAGGAAAAATAATGTTGATTCTCCTCAGGAGCCACCCCCAACACCCCTGTTTGCTAGATCTATAACTAGACTAAAGTCCTAGCAAGTCCCTAGAGGTGAGGTTGAGAGTGTGACCAATAAGGAGGTGTGCTATACTTGAAAAGAAATGCTTGAGTTTTCTAATTTATATGAGCAGAAATCTGGAGAACAGGCATGGGAATGAATAAGAGTGTGGGATAATTGTGGAAGGATCATAGAGTTGAATCAGGCTGAATTTATTGATTTGGGCCCTTTAAGTAGGGACTCTGCATCTAATGTTGGAGTTTGAAGAGTTAAAAAAGGTTCTAATGGTTTATTTTCTTGGTTAGCTGAAATATGAATTAAAAGATGGCCCACTCTGAGTGAGCTGGAAATGCCCGATCTCCCTTGGTTTAATGTAGAGGAAGGCATCCAAAGACTTAGGGAGATTGGGATGATGGAGTGGATTAGTGACTTTAGACCTACTCATCCCAGCTGGGAGGGTCCAGAAGATATACCCTTGATGGATGCCTTGTGAAATAGATTTGTGAGAGCAGCACCTGCATCTTTGAAGGGCCCTATAATTGTTCTTCTCTGTATGTCAGATCTAACAGTGGGAACCACAGTCACTCAACTACAAAATTTAAATACAATGGGAATAATTGAATCCCAAGGTGGCAGGGTCGAAGTGTCAGCATTGAACCATCAAAGGCAAAGTGGGCATAGCTACCGTAATGGATAGCAGAAGCAAAGCAGCAATAAGAATAGTCTGACTCATGTAGAGCTCTGGCCATGGCTAATTAATTACAGTATTCTTAGAAGTGAAATTGATAGGAAGCCTACTGCACTTATATTAATTGATATAGGCAGAAAACTTCTAGGTCGAATGGACAGAAGATAATTTGAATGATAAAAGCAGAGAATTATGGCCCCTCAATCAATTTCCAGACTTGAGCCAGTTTACAGACCCAGAACCCCTTGAATGAAGGGGAGGCCAGGGCCCCTTGAGGAAGGACTCCACTACACAACTGACAATTTATGCAGTGAATCTTTCTCCCATCCTTCCCCAAGGAAACCCCTGGCCTTTTATCAGGGTAACTGTGCACTGGGGAAAGGGAAATCATCAGACATTTTGGGGACTACTGGACACTGGCTCTGAGCTGACATTGGTTCCAGGGGACCCAAAACCTCATTATGGTCCTCCTGTTAAAGTAGGGGCATATAGAGATCAGGTAATTAATGGAGTTTTAGCTCAGGTCCAACTTACAGTGGTTCCAGTGGGTCCCTGGACTCATCCTTTGATCATTTCCCCAGTGCCAGATGCATAATTGGCATAGACACACTTAGTAGCTAGCAGAACCCTCCCATTGGCTTCCTGACTGGTAGGGTGAGGGCTACTATGGTGAGAAAGGCCAAATGGAAGACATCAGAGCTGTCTCTACCTAGAAAAATAGTAACTCAAGGACAATATCACGTCCTTGGAGAGATTGTGGAGATTAGTGCCACCATCAAAGACTTAAAAGACCCAGGGGTGGTGATTCCCACCACATCCCTGTTCAACTTTTCTCTTTTGCCTGTGCAAAAGAGAGATGGATCTTGGAGAAAGACAGTGGATTATCGTAAGCTTACCCAAGCGGTGACTCCAATTGCAGCTGCCGTACCAGATGTGGTTTCATTGCTTCAGCAAATTAACACATCTCCTGGTACCTGGTGTGTAGCCATTGACTGGGAAAATGCCTTTTTCTCCATTCCTGTCCATAAGGTCCACCAGCAGCAATTTACCTTAAGCTGGCAAGGCCAGCAATATACCTTTACTGTCCTACCTCAGGGATATATCAACTCTCCAGCTTTGTGTCATAATCTTATTTCGAGAGACTTTGATTGCTGTTCTCTTTGGCAAGATATCACACTGGTCCATTACACTGATGACATTATGCTGATTGATCCAGTGAGCAAGAAGTAGCAAACACACTGGACTTATTGGTGAGATATTTGCATGCCAGAGGATGGGAAATAAATCTTACTGAAATTCAGGGAACTTCTACCTCAGTAAAATTTCTAGGAGACCAGTGGTGTGCAGCCTGTCGACATATTCTTCTGAGGTGAAGAGTAAGTTGCTGCATTTGGCCCCTCCTACAACCAAGAAGAGGCTCAAAACCTAGGGGGCCTATCTGGATTTTGGAGGCAACACACTCCTCATAGGATGACCTGTTCTGGGTGTGTTACTTTGGCCCGTTTATTGAGTGATCTGAAAAGCTGCCAGTTTTGAGTGGGGCTGAGGACAGAAGAAGGCTCTGCAACAGGACCAGGCTGCTGTGCAAGCTGCTTTGCCACTTGGGCCATATGACCCAGCAGATCCAATGGTGCTTGACATGTCAGTGGCAGATAGGGTTGCTATTTGGAGCCTTTGGCAGCCCCCCATAAGTGAATCACAGTGAAGACCTTGGATTTTGGAGCAAGGCCCTGCCATTTTCTGCAGATAACTACTCTCCTTTTGAGAGACAGCTATTGGCCTGTTACTGGGCTTTGGTGGAAACTGAACGTTTGATTATGGGTCATCAAGTCACCATGTGACCTGATCTGCCTAACATGAACTGGGTGCTTTCT